CTTACTTGCTGGTTAATATGTCTGGGAACAAAGCACCGTTCCAGACTCTCAGTGACTGATATAGCTTACCAGGCACTGTAGATTATATAAAATCCTTTCACTGTAGGACTCCAGACAAAGGAGCCGGTGGACTGGAAAGATGCTTCTACTTCAGAAAGGAGTGTCTCAAGCTCTACTAACCTGTCTCTGCAGTGCTCTTTCTGTTTAAGACTTTTAGAATGTCTTTGGTTATTTTCTTGATTGTATGACGAGCATCATCCCGTTGTTTTCCAACCCCAAAAAGAACTACCAGCCGTTGGTTACACTCATGACTGCATGACTCCTCCTAGGGAACCAAAAGAGACAACTGCATTAGCAACTATGAGGCTGAATGCTTTAATCTTGTTTCACATCTGGATCTCTTAAAGGAAAAAGAAAGCTTCATCTCAGAAGTTGCTTTGAGAGTAAATAAAGCAAGGAGACATCTTAAGTAGATCACCTCCTGCAGCAGTGCAGGAAAGCATGACTGCTTCTTACCCTCCCACAGCAGGACCACAGGGAAAAACAGCAGCCTTGTGACCAGAGCACAAGACAACAACAGGGGAGCAGTTATGAACAGGTCTCATACCTGAGGAATAGGAAAGTGTGTTGCATACTGGATGTGCCGAGGCTGGTCATACAGGGATGCTAGCATTCCTTCCACAGACTTATCCTTCAGTAGAGGCTTTGCTTCCTTTTCAGGATCTGGTTTCTCAGGGGAAGGGCTGGCTTTTGATTCACAATGCATTGGAGGAGAAAACATCTAGGGAGGCATAAGAACAAGAGAATGTAGTTAGGGAACATGGTCATGCAACAGTGAAGACTGCTGAAGGGAGGTACACCTGCTCAGGCCTAAAAAGGAGTAAGAAGAGGGAGGGTTGGAGAAACATCCAGTTCTTAGGGTAATGACCAAGGCAACGTGCTCAGACACTATTCCCATTTCTGCTTCTGGTCCATGTTGTATACTGAATTAAAAACAATGGGAAATAAATAACCACAATTTGGGATTTTGGGAACAACCACCTCCACAGAACAACCGAGGATCCTGGGAAAGCCACATAGCTCTGCACATCACACCTGCCTAACATGTACCTTGAAAGGTCAGAAATGGCTGGAGGAACGTAGGTACTCAGGGATTTTTCAACCACCACAAGTTATTTTTATTACTAAGTGCTTCAAAGCTTTCTGCAACCATGAACAATGTCCACAAATATTATGAAGAACTGTAAAGCTGAAGAAGTACTGAAGGCCACACAGTATGATGATAGCAGACCTGTGTCTTCTCCCAAGTGATCAAGAAAACCCCTGCCAACAGTAACTGGTCACTCCCAATCTCCTGGTGCTATCATGGTCATCCATTTCCCATTCACTTCCAAACAGCCCACTCCCTACCCTGCACAAACAGCGGGCTGGCAGCGGCCAGAGCATAGGAGATCCCAGGAATAACTGGGACTAATTCTACTCTGATGGACCCCGACCTGCATAAACAGGTTTACAGTGTCAGCTGCCTTACAACCCAGCCATTTCCAGCATACTGGCTCTACAGTAGAGAGGGGAGTACTCACACAGAAGTGTAGCATGTGCTGTCCCTGGTCCCACTACGATATACTGACCTACTTACTGAGTAGCAAGTAGAAAATGCAGAAACCTACCGAAAAGTCTGTCTTCTCCATGTCATCAAACAGCATGCTGGAGTTGTGGTCGATGTCCATGGGCTCAGAAAGACCTGTGTCCTGGGAAGATACAGAGTACCTTAACATCACATTGACGCACCAGGGAACGAGATGCCCATGTTGGACAGTGACAGAAATATGCCAGCATACCCATGGTGCCTGGCAAGTTGGAGCCTAATACACTGAAAACATCATGGACAGGCCTCCTGCAGCACCTCATGATATGCTGCTCTGCTCCAAGCAGTGCAAGATTTTCCTGTCTACCTCTCTACATTGTGCAGGCCCTTTCCAGCCACTTCAAACATAGCCTTCTACTTTTGAAACTGCAATGCTTAGGTTGGGGGAAGGAGAAGCATGACTCATTGGTACATCCTTCAGCAAGTAATAGCAAGGAGGCTGCAAAGCTGGTAAAACCAGGCAAGCACAACACAGGCACATGTACAGGAGGGCCATTGTGCTTGTGCTCGCACCTCTAGCTTTATGCCGCTGTTTCCCTCCGTCTCCTTCCTGTCATGCTCCTCAGCAGGGTCATCAAAGGGTGAGGGTGGGCGAGGCCCATGAGAATCCATAGCAAGATCACCCCGGGAGATAAGCGTGCACATGTAGATGTTGTGAGAGAAGACATCATGTCGAATTAGCTCACAGAACAGCAGCACCAGGTTAAAGAACTCCACCTTCTCATTTTCCTTCCCAGGATCAGCTGAAAGGACAGCACAGACAGTCAGGGCTATCAGAGTTCTTCTGCAACACTCTGAGCAACACCAGCCACCTAACCTAGGGCTAGCAAAAGTGTTTTCAGAGAGCTCAACGTAGTAAATGACTGATACACAGTTCCGAGATTACAGCAGGGACTAAAAGCAGAAAGTCCAGTTTCAACAGGTGTCAATTAAGCATGTCAAAAGCTCTCTAGTTAGTCTCACAAATCAGAAGCATAGGACTTTAGCCTGGAAGTGCCATTCTTCGGTGTACAAACAGTTGCCTGCATCATTCAGAGTTGTATCCTGTCCCCCTTAATCTGTTTGCAGTACTTCCAATGACAGACTATTCCAGAGGTTTGTCACTTACTAGTTAGAAACCTCCCTCTAGTTCTCAGACCGAATTAATTCCTGATTAGGCTATACTCATTTATTCTCTGTTAACAGAAGTGCTTCTGCATTATCTTTCTGTCATCTGGTTCTCCAGGCTGCTTTCCCTCCCTCTCCAAGATATGCTCTGAATTGCAAGGAAGCCAGAGAGAGAATTTAGGTACATCCAAGACCTACACACAAGAGAATAGCACATAATTCAAAGTCTGCAGGAGAGAGAAAGTTAGAAACTGGGAGACCACAAGTTCTTATTACATACTTAGCATAGGAGCTTGCGTGTCAAGGAACTGCATAAGGACATCCTGAAAGACAGGAGCACTGGCTGCTGAGAGAGAGCCCGAGGAGATGGAGCCCTTCTCATCCACGACTTCAGAATCCCCACATCTCTGCAGAAACAGAAAAAAGTACCAACTGCTATCACAGAAGAGAAATTCACTATCCATAAATCCCAAAAAAGAAGTCCTCAAAAGACTTTTATCTTGCACTTACAGGAAAACCACCACACAGGTTTCTGCAAGCTACTTCACAGTCTCTAAGTATGCCAGTACTTCTGCACTGCAATCACCTGTCTTCAAATGTATCCAAGAAATGGGATACACACAATCTCACAAGCTCATTTATGACCTACTTCAGTTTAGGTGGAGCAAATGCCATAATTAACAGTGTTAAAAGGCATTGTGCTGATCAGCCTTTACTTTTTGGCATAATAGTTAGATAATCGTAGTTATGTAACCTCTGCTTTCTTTTACCGCTGCTAGCCTTCCAGGCATAAGGACTTACCTCAGCCTCTATCTCTGCTTGACGCTTCTCCAGGAGTTTGGCCACAACCATAGCCCTGTGGCGTCCAGAGCGTTTATAGCTGACAGCCCACTCACAAAGCAAGGCCACCACTGCATCGTCATCTGGAGAGATCTGTTGAGATATAAGCACTACAGTGAGAAACTGAGCCAAACAGAAGAGGTGAGCAGTCTTAAGGCCTCAGGTTGGATATAACAGCAAGTCTACTTCTAGTAGAGCACAGTCTTCACACTGCTGTATTCCCCTCTTCCTAACATGGAGGACAGATGTCAAGCTACAGCCCTCCTGCTCTGTCTCTGCTTTGACTCCACTTTGCAACATGAAGTGATCCACAGTCCTTGACAAATCTCCACGCTGGCTTTGCTTCAGAAAAATCATCTCCGTTCCAGCAGCACTTCTATGAAGTGCTAATCTTAGCACAGAGACAAACACAGCTTCTTGACAGCATTATACATAGTATGCAGACTACCAGTTCTGCAGCTCAATTCCAGGAACCAATGGAGTATTTGTTGCACTATGGTCCTACACATCATCGATATGTCACCTCCCAAGCTAAGGGGAACTTGAACTGTGAGCTCTCAGACTCCCGGGAAGCAGCTGCCAGCCCAGAATTTGACAAGGCTAGCATTTACTTCTCTCAGACACATAACATGTCTTTATCATCAGTCTGCTATCTGGACTGATGTATTACATCAGGAGACTCCCCTCAGCTGTGTGGATTCTCTCAAGTTTACACGTATTTGTTAGTGTAGACTTTCTAGATCACAGACCCCCCCATTCTCACTTTAGTACCTCCCTAACCTAAGGCTGCATGAAATCCTTTTTCAATGGAGATCGCATCTCTTGGCCAAAGGCCACTACCTAGTCAGCTCTCTGCAGACCCAGGACAGTAACCGTGGAATATAAACAAGAACATAGTCACGTCCAAGACCAGGGCCCAGCAGCAAAGTCCCAAGGCACCTCATGACTGTCTTTGGTTGGACCCAGCCCAAATATCCTGTTATACAAGGAATCCAAAGAGTTGCTGAAGTCAGATCTTTCAAAGCTGTGACTGTCCAGAACTTCTAAAGTGTGCAAGACACGGCCAATAGTGAAACCTAGAAGAGAACAAAGAGAAATGCATATTTGGCAACTGATACAACAGACTGGAGCAGAAGTTTCTGTGAGCTCATTGCTCAGGAGACTGCCTAAGGAAAGCTCCCCCTACTCATGGGGAAACAGAGCCATGCAAGATTTCGCACTGGAAAGAAGAGGAGCCATTTGGGTTTTTTCACTGCTGACAGTAAACACCAACAGCAGCAAATAGGAAAAAAAATAAAAGAAAACAGCCAGACAGGAAGTTTCTCAGGATAATGCATGGAACAGGGGGAGAGAAACTTTAACCTACAGCAAGTTACCTGCTGTGGTTTCCTGGCACTTGTCAAATGACCAGCGAACCTCCACAGCCTGGCCACGTTCCTTTATCTGCTGCTCAATTTCACGCAGCTTTGCCCGAACCTAAAAGCAATGGACTTGTGTAAACATACAAAAGGATGCCTTAGAAGTCCCATGTACAAAATTACCAGAAAACAAAGAGCATGACAGTAATTCTACTCAAGGTTAGATTTTGCCTGTCTTCCAAGAAAATCACTGTTTTGCTTACAGCAGAATGGGAGCAGTTAATTCCTTGGGAGTGAGACAGCACCTCCAGCTCTGCTTATCACACAACATGAAAAAAAAAAATCCTTAAAGAGCTAAGATACAGCTATTATTCTGGACCACAAGAGCTCCCTTTTTTGAAGGCTGCTCACCTGCTGTGTAAAGGCTGAATTCCCTCCTGGCATGGGCAAGTTGGATGGGGCTATAGGCAGGTGGTCCAATGGAGAGCCGGTCTTTATTCTGCTATCAGTCAATGAGTAATGCCACACAAGGGCACTTGGACAACACAAAATTATACTCTGCAACAGACAGAAGAGTCAGTATCATTGAGCAAATCAAGGTCAAAGCAATTAAATTACTTTCTACAGAAATAACCACTCCTTTATGCTACTGCCCAGGCATTCATCATCATATATACATATCTACTATTCAGGGGTTTTTTGTTCTAAGCTCTGAAAGAGTCTTTGGGCTAAAGATCATACCAGAGTATAAAGGAGTAAGCTAGTATTTTTGCTGCACTGAGTTTTTTGCCCTAGGTATGCTTAGGAAGACCAGAGTTCCACACTATCCAAAAGCTGCAACACATTGCTGCAGAGCTCCCTCCTACTTCTAAACAGAACTTTTTTCTACAACTCACACCATCAATGCACAATCCAACCCTTGTGGTCCAGGAGCAGCATTTACATTAGTGACTTAAGAGGCCTCATCAAGAGTAAAGTATGAGAAGAAATACGAGCCAACAGACCCAAATTCATTATGCTATATTATTTAATGATTAGTGGTATTACTATAGTAATGATTATAATAACAATACTATTATAGACATGTTTTCATTCTTTTATGATCTTGTACAGACACCCACACAAACACGGACAAAAACTTCACTGAACGATTCCTAGAATACACCCCTACAGCTTCCGGCTCACAAGGAGCCAGACAATAAGATGGACAGCCAAGGCTGTTTTAAACACTCAAACCAAAGAAACCATCATATCTCAAGATCTTGAGCAAAGGTTAATTATGTACACTGTTAGAAATGTATGTTTCCAGCCTGACTTGACCCAGCTCCAACTTCCAATCACCTGATCACTGTGTTAGCCTTATCTACTACTTGCAGATGAGAAAATCTGTAGATCTCCTATCAGAAGAACTCTCCTGAGACATACTAAAAAAGATCAGGCCATCATTAAGCAGTCTGGATTTTTTAAGCAGGTTGTGTTCAAACACCAAATCAGCCAAATCTCTGAGGTGTATATGCTCATATAGTTCACCTAAAGTAAGCTCCTCAAACAAAGGATTTTGATATTTAAAAAAACATGTTTTATCACACAGAAACTAGAAAAAAACCCACCCTAATCTTTAACTGAAAGTGACCAAGAGAGACTTAATAGGAATACAGAGGGGTTATTTATAACCCCTGCATTGCTCTCTAGCCCTTGCAAACAGATCCTTACTTCTCACCAACTGTACTCTAGCAATTTTCTTTCTACCCTGTTTGAGAGCTGGCTGGCTACTTCTTGATCCTGTGAGGGCTTCTTGATCTCAAATTTCTCTGTTGAGCTGCAGCTTCCCATGCTCTGCGCTCTCTTCTGCTCCACCTCCTGCTCCATCCTGCACTCTCTGGAATCTCCTTTGCTTTAACATGCTCCTTTCCCCCTCTCCACTTCTTCTGCAGGGACCCACCTGACCTAGTCACTCTTCTCTTGAAGGAGAAAAACACAACCATGAACACACAGGCCAAAAAGAACTCGTAAGGACAGTAGCAACTGAGTCCCAGCGATACAACAGCATTTGCCCTTCAAACATGTATTAGTAAGTCTTAAGCAACCTTGTCCTTTTACAGCAAGGCAAGGTTTAATCAATTCCAAGTATATGATTATGAGTTTAGAGTTGTTCCTTTTTATAGCCTGCTGCCACTCCTGAGGAGATTGGTCTGCCTAAGCCATTAAAGTTTTTCCATAAAGAACTGTGGAAGGTTGTTTTTCGTGTGCACTGGTTGTTTGATTTGGTGTTTTTTGTTCTGTGGAGGTGGGTTTTTCTGATGAGGAGCTATTTGTTTTTAAGAACTCACAAAATTACAAAGCACTCTTTTATTTCTGGCATAATTTCCTCTCCTAGATGACAACCTGTCACTGACATACACAAGATTAAATAACCCTTACTTTCTCATATCCTCTTCTGCAAAGCTTTCCCAGCCATGTGAGGCACCTGTGAATACAGCAAAAGGCTCTATTCCAACCCATTTTTCTTATGTGCGTCAGTCAAGGGCACTGATACAGCACTGACGTATGGTATGAAAGCTCTGTAACACATCAGCAAAGACCTACCCTTTGACAATCATGGTTTGATATTTCTGTACTCAGGAAGTTGCTGACTCAGACTGTAATGATTTTTCTGTGATGGCATACAATACAAACTGTTTCTGTTGACTCCACTATTATCAACCACTACTCAAACCTACCTGGAGGATGCAGCTGAGCCCATATACCACTGGCCGGTGCTGGGGACACAGCAGTAAGTCACTGAAAGGGCTAGGAGGAGGATTGCCTGCAGCTGGCTGAGGGGTAGGAGTTGAAGGAAGAGCATTGCCTGTCTGAGCAGACAGGATGTGGGGTGGGTGCCCACCAGCACCATCCAGTTGCATAGCAAGCCTGCGGGTGCAGAAGTAGGCCAAACGTCTGGACAGGTATGCAGACTGCACAAACTCTCCAGAGTACTGTAGGGAAGAGGGAGGGGGGAAAAATGTTTTTACAAGCAACACAAGAGAAACCCTTGACCCTCCCAAAGTAGTATGCTTTGTGGCACTGCCTTGTAGAGACAGTCCCTTTTTACATAGAGCTCCTTAGCATCATCAATCACCCACTGGCTACTAAGCATCAGAAAAACCTGTTAAATCCTCTATGGCAATGACTTCATTTACCAAAATGTACCCACACCCAGCCTTCCTGGGGCTTCAAAGGTCTGCCTAGAATCTGTTGCAACAGAAAGAAAGAAAAGTAGTTTCCATGTAGTGGTGCACAGCGAGTCCAACTATCACAGCTATGACATGGGCAGGGATTACAACGTCCAGGGCAGGGAAACAGGGCAAAACGAGAAAGAAACAGAAGAGAGCAGAACTAAAAAGGTATCCTTGCACAGCTAAGAAGGATGCTTGGAGGCCCACTCCCTAGCATTCTTAGTGCAAAATAGCTCATCATCCCTTAGGTGATAGGAAGCAGACTGACAACAGCAGAAGTCAGCACTCTCCTGAAGCAAGCCAGGTACATATTTCTCACCCGCAGCAGCAGGGGTAGGAGCATTTTCAGAAATTCATCTTCTCCTGACCGTATCTTCTCAAAGCATTCAAGGACCCATGTCAGGAATTCATGCCGGTCCAGCATGCCATCCTACACACAGATAAAGGCAGAGCAAACAGACAAAAGCTGAAGCAACATCCACTAACTTTCCAACGGTAGAAATAATTCTAGAAGTTTGCACAGTCCTGTACTACCCCTGTTCTACTACTGACCTCAAAACTGCACCCAGCCCTAACAGTCTATTCACAGAAAGATAATATTCTACAAAAATAGATCACCTTGCATCCACTTCCCCTAGCCCTCCTCTGCTACACACCCACCCAGCAGCCCCCTCCAGTCCCTCACCTGGAACATGAACATAGCTAGTTTCTCATTGTAGTCCCACTGCTTCAAAGCTTGTTCCACCTCTTGGGGCATTGGCCCAGACGGTGAACCACAGCCTTGCCCTGGGAGCTGTCTATAGAACTCCGCAATTTTCTGCAGCTGCTCTGACAGGTACTTGGTGATGATCTGCGTCCATTCTGGAGAAGAGGAAACAGGTTAGCAATGAGCGCCATGATAAACAGAAGCAGAAAAGAACCAGGCTGGTGCACAGGTGGAAACCCCAAAAAGTTCCTGTCATTTGAAAAGGACAGAAAGACAAAGAAAGAAAACCAAGTGCCACAATATTAGCTTTGCTTGTAGCCTGGGGGTGGTAGGGAGGAAGAGGCATTCACAGAAATTGAGAACAAGGGCAAAAACTTCGGTGTTTGGGGGGCAAGGTCACTTTGTACAAGAAAAGTTGAGAAGAAAGATTCCTCAACTGCAGTTGTTGAGAATCAGCAGGTGGAGAGAAGAGGCATTCCAGCAGGAAGCAGTGTTAGGCCAGCCTGGTTTAGCATCCTCAGTAATCTGACAGACAGCAGAAACACTGGAAACACTTCAACTCTGAACTTGTTCTTAATCTGTCAGATATCAGAGTAAAGCCATGATCAGTGATTTTTTTTAAATAATTGTTTTTACTAAAACCTAACTGTGTAAGAGGCAAAACTCAATACAGCAACAGCACAATTACACTCTTCTGGGACAATGCAGATGGCAAAACCCAAGGCAAAATATGCAAGAACGTGAAACAAGCAACACTTACAGGGTCAGCAGTAGGAAAAACACCCAAAGGAACAGGAAAGTAAATAGAATAAATATATCTAACAAACCAATCAACCTCCAGAAATAGAGCTAAGAAGGCTGTGTAATTTTTATACCATAGATAAACAAGAAAGGGGGGGGGGGGGGGGGGGGAAACCTGCTGTTTTTCAAAGGAGTGTGTGCTCAGGTCCTGTAGTCACAGCCATACAAACCAGAATACAACTAGGGGAGCTCTCCTAGACCACAGTAATCTGGAGCAGGCCAGGATGCAAAGGATGTTAGATATGAGATCCAGTAAGGCTTAATGAAATTGGAAACATAAACAGGGAATAACATACTGGAATTCTCTGGGAAATATTTACTCACTTGAGAAGAAACTATAATGTTTACCATCTTTGTAGGGTAAAAAAAAAACCCAAACAAACAAACAAAAAAAACCCCCACAACAAAAAAAACAAACCAGGTTATACAGCAGAGGACCACAGTAGAACTTAACAGGGAGAAAAGAAGAGGTAGGCTCTTGGGAAGTATTAGGCTCTCGGTGTACTCTCACAGGCAGGCCGTGTTATTTTAGACGTTATACACATCAGAGCTCCAGGCTACCTCTTACTATTCAAGAGCAGGCTGAGAAGGAAACATCTGGGATGGATAAAACCAGTGCTCCACACAAAGTGCTTACCAATGAAGGGATCAATGACATGACGCTTTTTCACCTTGGTTTCTGTGATGGCAGCATAATAGGCACAAGTCATTTTGATGAGCCAGGCTGCTCTCATTACTGGAACAGTGTATTTTGCCAAATAACCAAAGACCTCTTCCTTCTTGCTAAAGATAGGCACCTGTAACAGAATTGAGAGGGAGAATTGCAACCAAGAACTTAGATGGGAACTATTCCAAAGCAACTACATATGCTATAGGTGCTGCAAGGTGTGAAAAAGGTAAAAAGGGAAAAGGTACTGTGTTGCTCTATATCTCAAAAAACCTACTGCAAGAATTCACCTCTGGTCAGAAAGCAACAGTACTAGAGCTACATTTCAGTATAAACAGAAACAAAACAAACTGAAAGAAGACAGAACCATAATTACATCACTGTAAATCCATGCCCTGAATCCTGCAAACAGCTTTAAGGATATCCTCCAGAAAGGATATAAACAACTACAAAAGGTACAGACTAAGGACTGAGTCAGAAACACAAGAGTATCTACTATACAGACTGAAGATAGGACTTCTCATTTTGTAAACAATACACAGAGTGGTTACAAAAGTCTTGTAATATCACGAGTAGCCAACAGAAGAATGTGAGAAACAGGGAATTAAGTACCATAGTAGGAAGGATTTCATTAATCCAAGATTCAAAATTCAGGATACAACATGGGACGATACCAGTAAAAGCATCAGACTGTAGATCTATAAACCAAGAAGTAGCAACACATCACAGGAAAAAGTACAGCTGTGTGGCTCATTTCCACAGGATACTATGGAGAGCAAAAGTATGCGTGTGTTCACAGAGGAATGAGACAAATTCACAGAGAATGGGTCCATTGGGTTGGTATCTCAAAGTCCCTGAACTACCAACGGTTCAATCGCTTACTTGCTATGTTTCTTACATTCTACCCAATTATTCTCTGATGCTTCACAGACACAGACTATTTGGCTACCAACAGTTGCTGCTTTCATGTCCGTGAAAACTGATGGAGCCAATTCCTGGAAACTGGGCAAGGCCTTGAAAGGTTCAAGCTTTCACAATGACCTCAGGAAACTGACAGGACACTTGCAAAGAAGGACACAAGGACTAAGTTTATAAAGAGACAGATTCTGGGAAAATACGATTACTTTATTTTCCCTCAAGAGTGACTCAGAACACCGAGGACCAGACATACTCTAAACTACATGCTCTGCTACTGTTTCGCAACTGGAGTTATGTTTTCCCACAATGGATACTAGATTCCCAAGTTCTTTGTTTATAGGCCCACCCTGATAGAGAGTTAGCTCCCCTTGCTATCGGGCCCAATTCAATGCTACCAGGGAAATATCTAGCCCTAGACCCCAGGGCACAGAAATGCTCTAGCCTGAGACTAAACTAAAATACACATACTCTTTTCAGCTTAAAACCAGATACATGCATCACTGCAACAGAAGTCTGGGAAGCTGACTATTTCCAGTTATTAACAGCTGACTATTTCCAGTAATTCTCACTATGACTTTTGAGAACTTGAAAAACCCTCCATAATAGGAATGGTCCTAATCTAAACAACAGAGCAAAGGCAACAGTGGCAGCTCTTCTGAAAAACACCCAAACCTTAAAATAAATCAGTCATATCACACAAGCCAAAAAGCAAAGTTGAACACAATCTCCAAACAGCAGATGAGGGACCCGTTCTTTGAGCGGGGACAGCTACAGCCAGTGCACTACAAATCTGGGATACGCTCTTCAAGATGAAAGCTTCAAGAGATGTAGAGAGCAGAAACTTCTTCAAATAGTAAAAGCCTTCTACTATACAAACACTTCAGAAACAAACATAGCTTAAATGCTCTGCCCTGCCAGGCGACATCTCCTGTAACATACCTTCTTAGCAAGATGAGTTAGGGGCTTAGTTCCAGCCAGATCTGTGAACCAGTTGTTTATGGCACTCTGAGAACGTGCTGTCACCAGCCAAAAGTTATCCTTCTGGTTCACCTGGGGTTTCCGTCTTCCTGTGTCAGGCAGGGTATTGCACCGCAGCTTTTCTGCGATAATACTGCTAAAATTTGAACTGATCTGGAAAAAAGAAAAAAGGGATTAATTATATTTCACAGGTCAAAGATCTATTCTATATGCTTAAAATCTCATTTATCATTCCTACCAGAAGTCTCACCAGTACCAGCTTTTGAAACACAAAAAACCTGCCAATAATTTCCTTTGTTATACTTGCAAAGAGGAATGCTTCTAGACAACTTGTACAATAACCAAGTGGGGACCCAAGTTGAGATGGACAAAACTTAACAAACCAGACAGAAGGCTTCTTAGACAGATGTCAGCCAAGGAAAACAAATATACTGTGCTTATTGATTGCCTTCCGTCCCAGGTCATTACTAGTCCTCTTGTCAGGGAGACCAAGAAGTTAACATTTTGATTTTAGAGACTGGAAAAACTGAGTTGAAGCCTATTATGTAACTCCCACATATAAATTGCCAGATGTTTCAAGAAATCTTACTTCTCTTCTACTATGGCCATAACGTAACCAAAGAAAAAAGTTTCCCCCTTCTGGTATCCTAGTCTTCTGCTTTAATTGCAGAATAAAAGGAGTTCTAGATGCTAGTTTAACAAAGACTGCAGATACAGACCTGCCCCTAATATGTACACAGAAAGACAAGAACCTTCTCTCTCAGAGGTGGGACACAGTTCCAAAAGAACGCAGAACTTTGATTCTACAGAGACAGAGGATTAGGTCCTAAACCACTCATCCTAAAGGGAAGGGTCTTCTGGTTCTGGACACGGGGAAGGAATGAAACCCAGGATTGTCCGGGACCCAGCAGCCTGCCCATACAGGCACCAGGCCCTGCCAAACCCCCACACCATCCTGATGGCTCTCACCTTTGCTGGGTTGAAATTGACATTTTTGGCACTGCCGTGCTCATCCCCAGAGACCGCTGGCTGGTTATTGAAGCCTTGCTTGACGTTCAGAGCAGTCAGCTCGTCCTGTGGGGAAGGACGATCAGCAGGGCCCAGCAAGGCCACGCCAAATGCCTG